AATGCCCCATACACTGGAAAAAATCAAAATCTAGATAAGTAATTTTTTTCTTAAAATAAGTGCATTTGTTCTTGAATTGAGGAGATAAAAGAGACATTTTGCTAATGGAACAAGATGATTTACATTTAAAATAAAGAAAACACAATTAAATTATCTTGTTTCAAGTGCGTTTCATCTAAATATCTTAGTTTAAGAGTAGAAATGCTCCAATATTCCATTGGAATATCATCTCATTTACCTACTCAGCTACTCTTTAAGACATTTTTACTTAATTCTAGATCCTTTTTTCCAGTTCACCTGTCTATGTCTCTGAATGGGGGTCGTTAAAGGGAATTGTTGGCCTGGCTGAATAGGCAAAGTCTTCTGTTCTCCTGTAAAGGGGTTGGGGTTGCGATGATAGCGGGAAGGAATCAACTCTATCGCTGCATTGGAGGTTGTAAGGTTGGTTTTTCTTTCTTAACATAGATGGCTTCCTTCACGTCCCTCTCAAACCACCGGTCTTCTTTGTCCAAAATGTGAACATTCTGGTCCTTTGTCCATCAGGTGTAGATGGACAGAGTCTTGTCCAGAGGAATTGGAATAACTGTGACGTCGATGACTGAGAATCTTCATCAGAGTGTTTCTCTGAGGCGTCCCTGATCCGTATCTGTTGTTCCCTCCATAAGGTGACGTCAGGAAGACGGTGCTGCTGAAGTCGACTGAATGCTCCCCTGAGGTGATTAACTTCCTGGCCAACAAGGCGTGCCAGTGCTACGTGTCTCTGTGTGACTGGGCGGCGGTGAAGGAGTGGCAGGCCACCGCCAGCACCCTCAAACAGAACTCCGTCAGCGTCGGCCTGCGGACCGACTTCAACTACATCCAGGCTCTGAGCCGCTTTGAGGAGGGAGACCTGTCCGAGTGCGGGGCTCAGCTGGAGCTGCTGCCTGGGGAGGACTACAGCGCTCCGGGGGGCAACAAAGACAAGCTGGGTGAGTCTGATAACCAGGCGCCGCCTGCAGTACGCCGCTCTAAACCAGCTTTGATAGGACGGACGATTGTTTGCAGATCTGAAGCGGCTCCTGCCCTCCATGAGTCCTGATCCGGCGGAGCTGCAGAGAGCCATCGAGGTGCAGCTGCTCCGCAGCGCCGTAAGCGCCATGGCTAAAAGCGGCCAGCAGCAGGAGCAGAGGAGCGCTACATCCAGCCCAGAGTAAGAAGGCCTCTGCTGTCCCGCCTCTTGTGTTGCGGCCTGTTTTTAACTGTTGACGTCACGTTGCAGTACTTTGGTGCGATGCTTGAAGCAGACAGGAAGGATCTGCTTGGGTCCTCTTCGCCTGTCCACCCTCACCCTCTGTGACGCCCTGCCCACCCTGTCCACCCTGCAGCTGCACTGCACCAGCGCCCTGGAGAACGCCCTCACAGGCCAAGAAGTAAGCAGAAACCAAGCAGACCGAGCAAAAAAAGCTAGGTCCGTTGGTTTAAAACGCTCCCCTGCTTGTTTTCCAGGATTGTCTGATTCCTCTCAGCAGCGAAGCCTTGAACTCCTGCAAACAGCAAGATGTGCAGCTTTTCCTCCAAGCTCTGCGCTACTCCACATTCCAGAGACAGCTGCTCCAAAACCTGAAGAAAGGTGAGCTTCCTGGATAGATGCTTGGGTTATAACCCAGACCCTCCCTGACGGCCTTCTGTCTTCCACAGGTCCCTCCTCCGCCGTAGACGGCCATCTTCTGGAGCTCTGTCTAACCGCCGTCAAGTTTGCCCGTAAGAAAGGCAACATTGCTCTAGCATCTCGGCTCCTCAGCCAGTGCAGCGACGGGACGCAGGAGGAGAAGAACGAGGATGTGTGTCAGGCCTTCAAGCGCCTCTCTCTGGGGGGGACAGTGGGGGAGAAATGGGGAGCAGAGGTTCAGATGGAGAAGGCCAAAGTTCTGCGAACGGCTGGTAAGGAGCAGAACCTGGTTCTCTGATCTGAACGTGTTTAGCTTTACTTTTCAACAGCAGCAGCGTCATCATCTGATGCCGTCAGGATTTGATTTATCTAAAAAAAAAAAAAAAGGTTCTTTTTTTTCTCATTACTGTGAAACTAAAGGATGTATTATAAAACCTGATGATGGAAATGACATGAAGCGCTTTGGAAGATGTTGAGGTTCCACCTAAAGCCAAAAAGCTTTAAGCACCCTAAGTCCCCTTTAGGGTGACGGTCATGAAAGCAATGGACGGTGGAAAGGACGATTCGTCTAAAACATCTGATATATTTTATTAGTTTATCATGAAACTTTATGCTACGTTCAGAGCGAAGCAGCAGGAGCAGCAGAAACACGCGTCCTGCTTCATTTCTGATGCTTAAACCAGTTTATTTCTGAGGCGCGGCTGAAGCATCTTTGCTGCTCTAGCTGCGCGGTGGTAAAGTGGATCTGATGCGCGGTGCAGAACATGTTAGCAGCTGGATGAGTGATCAAATCACTTATGACACATTTAAGGAGAGAAAGTAATGAACCAACGCTGAGCTACGGAAGCCCAGAGAGCCCATTGGTGGACCCAAATCCTGACTTTCCAAACTTTAAATACTCCTAAACAGAACATTGATAAATGACCATTTATCATTATTTTTTTTCTGTTTTCAAGGCTGCACTTAAAAAAAAAAAATTGTCTAGAGCAGTTTTAAATGAAATTTCTTTTTGTATACACTCGTATATTCAAAATAACAAAATAAATCTGAATCTCTCTAAGTCTAAGAGCAGCCCTAATGGAGATCAGCTCCTCTACTGAACCCTGGATGTGAAAGAAGCCTGTAGATCCAGGTGTAGTTGTCATGTTATTTGAGGCTGAAGGTCTGGTTCTCCTCCTGCAGCAGTGCGTCGCAGTGAGCATGTTGCAGATATAATTTTCATTTCTGCCCAACA